GGGGGGGGGGGGGGGGGGGGAGGAGGAAGAAGCTCTGTTTGTAGTTTGTCCAACCTGTGCTGGAGGGTGGGGTAGGTGGATTGGGGCCCCTCAAGGTGGGGAGCTCCAATCCACTGACCCCATCTTCCAGCTCAGGCTGGGCAAACCCCAGACAGAGCTGCCTCTCCTCTTCCTCCCTCCCTTCCTGGAGACAGCACCAGGGGTGCTATTTGTCATTTTGGGCAGGAACAAACAGAACTTAGTGAAGGCTCTCTCGCTTGGAGCACCTTCATCTGAACCCTCATTAAATGAGGGTTAATTTGTCCTGCAACCGAACACTTTTAAAGCACTCTGTATATGTGCACTTCTGTCAGGGCACAGTTGAAGAGCACTTTCAAGGGGCCAATTGTGTAACAAACGTAACTTCTGTCTGCACCCGAGGTCAATAAAACAGCAGTTGTGTGTGTGTAACTCAGAGTGAGGAAGTAGCAGACCTGAGAACAGCACCCTTGTATAATTTACTTACATGCTTGTGACCAGGGGTGGACAATTATTTGGGCCTGTGGGCCACATACCACCCCCGCCCATGCACAACAGCTTGCTAAGCTTCCCCATGTGGGATGGGGCTGTGGGCGGGTGGGGAGCTGGCATGGGCCTGGGTTGCAGCTTCAGCAGAGGCAGCTCAGCCAGGGCCACTGCCACCACCAGCACCACCTCCAGGCTGCCCTTCTACCCCAAGGAGGGCCTCAGCTGGATGCCCTGATGCTCAGTGAGAACCTTCTGGCTGTGTGTACAGCTGATGCTGGCACCTGCCCAGCGCTGCTTCCGGCACATGGACCAGGAACTGATGTAAGCTACGGGGATGTACCATAGGTGTGGGATGCTTTGGGTGGGGGGATGGGGAAAGACAGAGAGACAGGGAGAGGCAGCCTTGCCTACCCCCTGCCCATGATGAACAGTGGTGGCTGGTGCTGGGAAAAAGCAGGACCTAGTGGTGGGCACACTAACCACTGCCGGGGCCCTTCTGGCGGTGGCTGCCCAGAGCCCACACCAGGGCTGCCCTGTGGCTCCTCCCTGCTTCTCCCACTGACCACCAGTGCTACCTCCGGGCTGCCCTGGACCAGTGGGGTGGAGCTCCAGGGCAGCTCTGGCACGAGCTGTGGGTGGTCACAGCCAGAAGGGCCCCAGCACCTGCCTTCAGGTCTCACTTTTTTCTAACACCCAGCACTGGCTGCTGCCACTCATCATGGGCAGGGCCACCTCTCTCTGTGTCTCCCACCTTCCCTTTACCTCTCCCCTCACCCCCCACCCGAACCATCCCACACCTACTGCACATTCTTGCAGCTTACACCAGTTCCTAGCCCACATGCCAGAAACAGCTCCGAGTGCTGCCGGAAGCAGCTGTGGACACAGCCAACAGGTTTCTACTGGGGATCGGAGTCTTTGCCCAAGTCCGCAGGTGACCCTGCTGCATCAGCATGTCGACTGCAGTCCTGGGCAGTCACCCTGATCCCCAGTGTGAACCTGCTGGCAGTGTCCATAGCTAACATTGGCGCACACCTGACACTGTTTCCACTACATGGGATGAGAGCTGGTGTAAGCTGTAGATGGGGCCCAGACATGCTTGCCTGCCTGCCTAGCACAGCACAGCAGTTGGAGCCGCTGGCTCCCTGCAGGCCAGATCCCATGACTTTGTGGCCCCGCACCTGTGAGCCAGATACAATCAGTTAGCAGGCCAGATCTGGCCCGTGGGCCATATTTTGCCCACCTCTGTTATAGATCATCTTTTAGACTTACTATACCTATGACTGACAAGGTGGACATAGGCAGAAAATACATCTGAACTGTACGTGATTTCACTGCAAGTGTGGATGGGACAAAGTTCAACTAAACCCTGCTCAGGTCAATGTAGGGTTTATTTTCAGACATGTCATACCAAATTTTCTGGCACTCAACATCTGGCTTATTTTATATGACTGTGCTTTAATTAACAGATATTTTCAGTCTTTATTTTGTCTCAGTTTTTATTCTTTCCTTTCTATGGACGTGATTTTATTCTTTTTATGGTCTTCAACCTGTTCATGCATGTTATTTAAACAGTTGTCTTCCACCCAGGAGATGACTGCATTTCAGTACCAGACGGCACAAAACTCACACAGGAGTTTTGTGAATCTTAATATTTGCACAGTGCTTTGAAATCTCCAGTGCACAGTGATGGTAGATTTACAAAGTATTATTATTATTCCTTGTATGGGCTAGCAAATAAGCATTTAACAATAAGCAGTTAACAATTAAGCTAAGCATTGGGGGCGGGAGGGGGGGGAGGGGGCTCATGTCTGATGTCATTATTGTGAAATAATCATTTTTTTAATGGTGTGTTTGGGGCAAAGGTTTGCATTCCCCTTCAAAAATGAGAACTGCCCCTGGTTTTAGGGTTCTGCCACTAGAGACATTAGGTTCATTGACCTGTAAAACAAACAATTTGAAAATAAACTAACCTGATATCATTAGCAGGTGACCAATACTGAATGAGAAGCAGAAAGGAAAGTCCTGCCCTGTTGATATTCTTCATCATAACAGGCTTGGACAAATGACAATCTGTCCAAGGGACATGGTTGTAAATTACTAAACAAACACAACGTTTGGGTAGGTGCAGAAAGCGCATCTTATTTGCCAGGAAGGATTACAAAATACTAGTGCTCTCTCAACACCAAGCCTGCACAGTTCATTGGAAGCAAGACCAAGAGGTGCTAGAGGTCTGAGTGGGACAAATATGGAGACATGCTTTGGATCCTACCTTTACAAGGAAATTTGTTAAAATCTTGCTTGTGCCAATAGGAACAGTAGAAGACACAAGACCACTTGGAGCTTGTCTAACCTTCAAAGTCCCCTTTGTGGTGTTCCACGTAGTATTAGCAAAGCTCACAGACTTTGTGCAGGCACCGCTGTAGAGAAATGCAATGTCAGATCACAGATTCAGTCAGAGGAACAAAAGCAAATTCCAACATGCATCCAGAGTTCAATACATTACCTCCTTGTCCCAGTCACTCTTCAACATGCTTCTTTTTGAAGTCCCTTGTTCTCCTCCCTGGTAGCCTTCCACACAATAGTTAATATCTACATAACATTTTTAGGAAAGAAAACAAGGACACCCTCTGAAATGTGACTGATTTCTCTCAATAAAATAGCTTCTAAGGTCCAAGGTGACATAAAAAAAACTTGCTGAATACGTAAGTACTCACCCAGCCATTGTATTATCTCTCTCTCTCATCGCTTTGTAAAGTACTTTGAGATGCCATCCTCATGAAAACTGCCATAGAGAAGCACATTCATTTCTTCTTCTCATAAGTATTTTGTTCTGCTAGTAAATGGAAAGGGATTGTGCCCTCTGGTACATGTGTACAGTAGCTAAAACACTGTCAGCACTGTTGGAATACAAACAACAAATAATCACTACTCTCTCTCATCCTTTGTTATGGATATTCTTTGGAAAAAGGACCATTTTTCACCCTAGACTGTGCCAAGCACGATTGACGTCAATCAGGATCGAGTCCCATTTTTGCTAGGTACTTTGCATACCCCTAGGGACAGGCAGTCTCTGCCCCCAAAACCTTTTAGTTTAAATGGACAACAGAGTTGAAAGAACCACCATCAGTGGCCCCAATCCATATGTGGGTCCCACTGAACTAGACACCTCCCAGGAACATACTAAAGGTAGCCCCCTTCTCTTGAAGAGCTGACAGTCTAAAAAAAAAGGAGGCCAATTAAAAGATAGAGGGAAGGTAGTCTCATTATGCACATTTTACACATGGGGATCTTGGACATAAGAAGATTAAATGGCTTGTCCCAAGTCACCACGCAACAGGCCTGTGGTAGAGCTGGGAACTGAACTTAAATATCTTGTGACTTGGACCCCAATCTCATTTGAGGCCTCCTGGAGTTACTGTAATGTAAGTTAACAACTATTTCTTATGATTATTATCCAGAGAGATATTGAGTTAATCAGGCCAGCAGTTGTTGGACATGCTCCAGACAGCAGGTTCAGCAAGGGTCACTGCAGCAGGGAAAAAAAAAATCCTTTTAAAGTTAATTCTAACCATTTTTAATGAAGATGAAGAGAAATGAATAGTGTCTGCAAGGTGAGCTAGCTGATTACAGAGGCCTTGGCTATGTCAGTCACCCTAGGGACGTACACCCATAATCAATTACTCCCTTAGAGAAACAAAAGCAAGAAGGCTAAATGTGTGCTGTCTCTCTTGCCCAGAAGATAACAGCAGCTGAGATGCATCTAACTTAACTAACCCACACTTTTCATGGAAACTGAATGGACAGGCAACGCTAGACAGAGGGGTCAGAAGAGTGGAATGATCTACAAGGACTGGTCTCCTGGCACAAGGTAAGGAGTGACAGCTTCTGCAAACAAAAGATTAGCAGGTCTTTCTAGATCAGGGGTGTCAAACAAACAGCCCATGGGCCAGGCTCCACCTATGGAGCTGTTCTATCCAGCTGGCGGACTACCAATGTGGCCAGAGAGAAAGGCCTGTTGAAGAATGGTAATCAGGAAGGCAAACAAGGACTGGCACAGCCTTGGGTGACCAGTGGCTGCTTTGCTGGTCACCACTGCTACAGCTTTACTTCTCTGGCCACTGGACCCCTCAGCATGCCCTGTGCTGAAGTTGGAACCAACGCTGCCACTACAGCAGCTCTGGGTTCATCACTGAGAAGGCACTAAAATCACTGCCGTGTGCTCCAAATCAAAGCTGGAGCTGCTGCAGCGACGTGGGTCAGTCCAGAGCGGGGGCTGCTGTCACTGTGGCAGTTTCCTCATGCCCCAGTCCAAATCCAGCCCACAAGAAGCCCTGTGGGTCCAGATCTGGCCTAGGACACAAGGCAAGTTTGATCCCCCTGTTCTAGATGATGTGAATGGAGGCTAGAAAAGAAAGAGTCAATTAACTTATCTGTGGCAAATCGACAGCATGCAAAGCCACTAGTCCAAGCACCTAATCTACTCACTTATCCTTGCCAGGAAAACTCTAGTGAAAGAAACTGATATGATCATTCTTTTATGCAAGCTACATTTTGGGCAAGCAGAATGTGGCTAAACTGAATTCACCCTTTAGGCCGTGTCACACTAGAGAATGAGCTAGTGATTTGTACAGCTCAGCTAGGTAGAAATATATAACAGTTGTGTAACTGCCTGTACATCTCACAGCTGGGAATGTTGCCAAATTATCAACTGACGCAATGAAGAAGAAAAGTTGCATGTGGTTTGGCATGGTAGAAAAGCTCGCAGCCAATCCCAAAATTAGTAGGTTTTTTTTAATTAAACAATTATCTACCGACCAACTCTTATCTTCAGAAAATTGTTCCTCTCTCCATCTCTCTACAACAGTGGTTCTCAACCTTGTAGGCTCCTAAACTGAAGACACCCCTAACAAGACTCAAGGCACCCCTCAGAAAATGCCAGCTCTTTGTTTTCACTCATTTTTTCTGTATGGAAAAATAATAGAGCAATTTTTCTATTGCAGAGAACTCAGAAAGACTGCAACAGGTCAGAAAGTTTTAACACTATGGGTTCCTATTTGAAATCTCTGGGCTTATCTTGTGAATCATACTGGCTGACTGCTGACATTGCATGGGACCCTGCAACACCCTTGAAAGGACCACAAAGTACCCCAGGATGCCGCAGCATCCTGGTTGAGAATCATTGCTCTACAAAAATCATTTGTAGGTGCATGTAAACACCTTTCCACTTCCTTGGAATTGGCAAGCACAAATACTTTCACTCTCTTTGGAATGGCAACAGCATCTCAGTGCCAACTAAATGAGCTGATTCCAGCAGCTGTCAAACTCAGAAGACAGATAGGCCTGTGGTTCAGGGCATTGGACTGGGATGAAGGAGTTTGGAGTCCAATTCCTAATGCTGTGACAGCTTCAGTTTGGGATCTTCAGCAAGTCACTTGATCTCACTGTGCCTGGATTCCCCCTCTGAAGATACAGGACATCTCCAGCACTTCCCAAGCATGTGAAGGGGATAATTTTGGTCATGTTTTGAAGGTCTAAAATACATGGACTTATGCAATCATGTCATAGATCTTTCCTGGGAAGGCATTTTGGGAAGTGTTGCTATCATCTACAAATGGTTCTCAAACAGGGTCCTGTGGCACACTGGGGTGTCATGAGATCCTTCCAAGAGTGCTGCAGGATGCCACACAACGCTAGCACTGTTAGGTGTGCAAACACGATTCACCTGATAAACCCCAAATAGGAATCCATAGTGTTCAGACTTCCTTGCAACAAAGGAATTGCTATTTTTTGACTAGAGAAGACTAATATAAGTGAAAAGTGAGAGCTGGCATTTTCTGAGAGCTGCCTCAAGTCTAAGAGGAGGTGTTTTGAGCCTGAAAAGGTTAAGAACTACTGAACTACAAAGTTGTTTCTTCACCGTAGGATGGCTCATGTTTTGATTCAAGATCTCCCTTTCTCCTCCAGCTGCTGAAGAAATGACTTAATAACCAGTCACCCACAACCGAGAAGTCAAAACACTCAGAAAGCCTTTTCTCAGCAATGTAAGCATCAGGTAAATAGCAAACAGAGAACTAGGAATTAGCTAGTGATCAGGGCACCCTCATCTCTAGCTAGTTACTCAGCTGGTAAAACTGGACAGGCACAAAAAGTCAATGACAAAGATATGAACTCCACTTTCTAGAAGGCCTTTTAAGTATAGCCATCAGGAAGACCGTAAACTGATAAAAGTCCTGAAAATGCACTGATTTTCAGCAGTGATAAGCACTGTGGCTTACAGACATTAAAAAAACCCAACACTGAAAACCCACACTTTACCAGAAGCAGCAGCACATTACTTCGAATCAGCTCCGCAGCATCTATATAGATCGTGTGCTTCATTGGGGCTTTTTGATGCTTTTATCTAATAGCTGATTCAATAAAAGCGTCAAAAAAACCCACTAAAGCACCTGATCTATACAGACGTTGGGTGAGCCAGATCCAACTAATGCATTGCCTCTTCTGGTCATGCACTGGGCTTGGTGCAGGAGCTTGCCAAGTTTAAAGTAAAGCACCATTTTTTTTAACATCTTGCCTGGGAACAAATCCCTCATAGCAGCATGTTTCCCAAGGCACCAACTCTGATCTGAGTTTGGAGGAAATTAATCTCAGTATCATCCTGCAGAGTGAGCACTTGTGCAGCTCTGACTGCCCAATATTGTGGCAACTCCCTTCCCAACCCAGATTTTCTGACCAACAGGATCCCACAGAGGAAAACCAGGGAGAAGAGAAGATGACGACAAGAAGGCAAAGAGGTCTGTAGCAATTTCTGGATATTGCAAGATAGTGAATAGGAAATTATGCTTTATGCCTTTGTAAATGGCAGCCTATACACTGGAAAGGAACGTTCTTATCAAGTGCATCTCACATGATGGAAAGGTTTGGGACCCTCAAGGTCTAGCACATATTTTACGAGAGCTCCTAGTTCACTTAGTTTTGGTAGCTGTTATATTATGCACAATTTTATATTACACAATATGGAAATACCATATTGACATTTTCCCCACTGGTGGATAAATGGACTGAACAAACAAACTGCAGTATTACCTGATAATAGTGACGATGAGTTGATAGGCACAATGTTGCTGACCCCAAGCAGAATGCATAACAAGAGTTTAGCTGAGTTCCACTTATTTACGCAGAAACAACCATCAAAAGAAAATGCCTTTGGTGGGTTGCATGTTATCTGCGGTTTGTGATACAGGCCAAACCCTGTGGGACACAGAACAACCATCAGACTTATTTGGACGCTTGCCATACTATCTACTTGAGATTGCAGGGGAGGAGAATACCTTGGTTCATAGCATCGTTCTGTTTGCTGATTGGTGCTCAGGCTTTTTGAAGTGACTTGTGATTTTGGCTCGTTTGATTTTGGGGCGTTCAATTCAGGATGCTTTAAAGAAAGTGCTGAGCAGTTACTCTGACAATTAAACCCCTTTAAGGTTTCCTGTATCAGGTCCACAGAAACTGAGGCACTCAGCATCACAGGGCTCTTTTGAAAATCCTGGCTTAGATCTTACCTGTCACATGGAGAAGCATTTTATATTGTTTGCTTTTATATCTAGCTGGATCCACTTTGGTCAAAGTCATAACAGTTCCACAAGGAAATCAACAGGAAAAGGTAGCAGAAAAGACATTCACATAAACACCACCGCCTATTTCCCAAATTAAATGGGAACGGTGCTGTATCCTAATTTATAATTCCTTCCTGTAACTGTACATCAGCCTGATTCGCACTGCTGCTGTCAAGAAAGGGATTCTCCTGAACTATTTTCAACAGTTTCCATCCTTTCAGAGCAGCAGGCCATTATCCCTTGGCCAATATGTTTGTTTTAAATTTTCTGTTCTCTTTCATTGCATGTTAATAAATACATTGTTAGCTATCTTCAGCCCCATAGACAAGTCAATCATGGAAAGACAGTCATCCTTGACTGTGAGGAATTGCTGCTGATGAATGAATACAATGAAAGCACTTTCAGCTGATAAGCAGCTGATGTACTGTATTAATTTAAAAACCTGCTTTACACTCAAGAATTCTTCAGAAATGAATTTGGATCCCCTTTCAATTATAGAAGCCTCCTTTTGATATCTGAACAAAGCTAAGGTTTTGTAACAGACATAAAGGAGTTAAGAACCCAATTCTGAGTTTCAGTGAGAAAAAAGCCCCGACCCTTTCTTAGTCCCACAGTTTCTCTCTATACTAGTCTGAACCAAAATCAGATTCCCACACTTCCTACTTTTAGGTGATAGTCAGATCAAGAACCATAATCTGATTTTATGGGTTGAGCAGTCCTAGAACTGCCATGGAGGTCTCTGTCATAACTCAATCCATGAAACAGCAATGTGCACACAGATCTGAAGCATTACTGTCCCTGGTAAGCAATGATAACACAATCTTTTCCCTTGGAAAATACTGGGAGTTAGTCAACTTCTACTAGTTTCCTAGGACATATACAAAGAAAACTTATGACACAACTGCTAAATGTAGATTGGAGCAAGCTCATCACTGAGCCTTGCCTTCCTTATTTAATATTTGTATCTGAGTAGCTCCAACTGAGAGTGGGACCATATTCTGGCAGACTAAAAACCAAATAAAATCTCAGCCCCAGCTGCAAATGGCTCCCAATTAATTTTATATCTGGATGCTGCCAGGGAATGAATAGTAGATGGAGAAAGATAGAGGGTGAGATAGCCTTAAAGGGAATAAAAGATACTGTAAGCACTGACAATTCATCAGTTGCCAAACCATAGAAATGCACTAGTTCACAAATGCCACTAAATTTCTAGGTAGCCTGTTCCAATAGTTACCCACCCTCTGACTACGTGGGTGGTAGGCACTGGAAAAGTCTACCTAGACAAGTTGTGGAATCACCATCCCTGGACATTTTTGAGAGCAGGTTAGACAGACACTTAACTGGGATGTTTGCTCAGAGATGATACTGCCTTTAGCAGAGGCTGGACTAGATGGCCTCATGACATCCCCTGCAGCCCTACTTTCCTATGATGCCACAATCTTTATTGTGTCTTTCCACTCCAGTTTAGAGTGGGGCTCCACATATTTTTGAGTACTAAAATGCAAACTGATTCCTAGTTTGGAGATCAGTACCTGAACCTGTCACTTCTAGTATAGGAACACTAGGACCTGGAACCAACTTCCAAAAGAAGTGGTGCTGGCTCCTACCCTGGGAGTCTTTAAAAAAAGGCTGGGCAAACATCTGGCCGGAGTCATTTGACCCCAGTACTCTTTCCTGCCACAAGGGCTGGCAAAACATCTGGCCGGAGTCATTTGCCCCCAGTCCTCTTCCCTGCCACGGCAGGGGGTCGGACTAGATGATCTCCTCAGGTCCCTTCCGACCCTACCAACTATGAAACACATGTAGCCTTTGTTCCAGGACCAGTTGTACCTGTGTTTGTCCTAGAACAGAAAAGTCCTGGGATTAGCACATACATGCATTGTTCTTCTAAACAGGGTTGAGACAGTGGCTGAATGTGCTGCTGCTTTTCTGCCATTGTTCAATGGTGTAATCTCAGGATAACCAGTCAGACTCACTTCCCTATATCTCAGGACAAACCCTTGGCACTTACTGCGTGAACCTTTTTAGGGTTTGTCTCTGGACAATAGACATGGACATCTGAATTTCATCCTGTGATAAAATGATTTCTCTCAGGACAAATGTGAGGTCCATTTGTAGCCCTAATTAGTAGGTTATTGGATGGCAGATACATTTTTCCTAGCTAGTGCTTCCTTGAGATAGTTACTCAAAAAACTAGGTTTGCCAAGAATACCATGCTCACCCTCTGTTTTCTTGGCTTCAGTTTTGTTCCCTTCCTTGGCTTGGAATCAATCCAATCTACTTTTTCTGAGAAGGTTAACAAGAAGTTTGACACTGTTTGCATCCAAATGTATCTTGTTCTCTGTTAGGATTGAAAAAGCAAACTCCTACAATATGCACAACACACAGTGTAATGGTTCCCAGCATGCACTATTGCTGCTGTTCTATCATTTGTCCAATGATAGAACTGACTAAACTGGAGGACTGTATGCTGGGATCTGTTGTCCCTTTGAATCATACCTCTATAATAAAGCCAAAGGAAGATACAATCTGATCCCTTTAATGCAAGTCAGGCAGGGCCTTATGCTCTTGGAAGGTTGAAAATATAATCCCCCTGGCTGGGCAAACTATATTCCAACATTCATGAGTTAGCATCTTTCTTTCATCTTATCCCTGAGACCCACTGGACACTAATTTTAATTGGTGTTCAAGCCACTCAGATGCTCTCCTTAGTCCTCTACAAATGGCAAATTTTTCCTTCTTCAGCAATTATGATTCTATTCCTTTATCTCCACCTTGGAAGATCAACGTTGAGATTTCAGTACACTTCCAGCTTCAGTGGTCTCAAACTTTAAACCTGATCAAATTAAAGAGAAGGTATTACATTAAATAAAAACAATTACAGGTTTAGTGTAGAGACACATTTGTAGATCATGTTATCTGACAGTTTTCCACCTGACAACTTTTACTTTGCATCAAAACCTCCCATAGACTCCAAAAGCCCTTTTTAGTTTGTTCAGGTACCTGTTCCTGAGACTTTTTCCTAAATTTAAAATCATTATGAACCCAAACTACCAGCCCAAGGAAGCTTCCAAGCAGCTTCCACTTATGCACTGAATAACAAGGCTCTTATTTCCAAATACACTTGGGAACAGCTCTAATCAAAATGTCCACAGCATCTCATGTATTCAGCATCCCACACTAGCAGCAAGGGCACTTTAACTAAAGCTCGTTTTAGTTAAAGCTACCCCACAGCCATTTTGAAGTATGGGGACACTGAATACACATGATGCCGAGGTTGCTGGAGCATGCTAATTAACATTAATCGAGTCTGCTCTAACTTGTTCTAATTAGAATGCATTAGAGCAGGCATCAGGTACATGCATAGGCGCCCATAGAGTCTAAAACAAGGCCATGGATTAAAATTTTTGCATTTGCAGCTTTCAGCTCTGTTGTGCTCACGTGCATTAATGTAAATCAGGATAGTTCAGAAAAAGGGAAAACTCTCACAGGTTTTGGAACCCATGACCCAGTGGGTACTAATAAGTGAATGTATAACAGCTTGCATTTATATTTGTATGAAATAGGGGTAAAGTCAGGCTCCAAGAAGCCAGAGAAAATTTGCAGGAGGCCAAGGTTAAATTAAGACAAGCCGTCTCTGGGACTACTGCTTTAAGATTCTTATTTAAGCCAAGACAAGCCAGTCAAGCCTCTAGCCAGTTAAGCATTTGAAACTCCAAACCAACACAACAAAAACCCAAGCAAACAAGTAGAACAGGTCATGTTTCCAGAACTCCCAGCTTCAGTTTCTGGTCATCAACCCTTAGCTATCTCTCTCCTAACTGTGCTGTGAGCAAAGCTGCTGGGAAGACACAACTGAACATGCGTTATACCTTGGCCAGATAAGTGTCACAAACTGGTTACAAAAACACAGTTGTGCTTCTAATGAAAATGGGACTTTTATTGAATGATGAGGCAAGTCACAGAGCTTGTCTTGTGAAATACTCATGATCAGGGATCCAGTTTTCCATTTCCTGCAGAAAAACGCAGATTTTTTCCTTTAAAGAAAAACAACCCAGGAAACCACAGATTTCCTTTGCAGGCTGGCAGAGCTCCAGCCAGCAAGGGGCTGCTTGGAGCTGGGAGGAGGGCAATCAGAAGTGGGGGCGCCATGTGCATGTGCACGCGCGCACATGTATGTGGCCAGCAATACAGCCAGGCAGCACGGTGGAGAGCAACTCCTGCAGCTCTCTAAAGGTAAGTCTATGGGAGCGAGATAGAAACAAATTGCAGGGGATGACATAGGTGATGCATGGGGGGCACAACTTGTGGGGAGACTGAGATGGCAGTGGCTTGTGCTGAGCCTGCACAGTGAGGTAGACCATGGGGCAGGGTTGGTGGTTGGGGATACTGTCCATCCGGGGCAGTGCCCTGGGCCCAGAGTTAGGGCCAGAGCCAGGGCCAGAGTTGGTGGGAATGCGTGATTGCAAAGCCCAGTTGCAGAATGGGACAGACCATTGGCGGCTCATCCCCACTGCTGTTTGCACTCAAGGGGAGGGGTTGGGTCCACAGGCAATACATCAGAGAGTACGGGGGGGGCATGTGCTCCCCCAGATTTCTGCACCCACAGCAGGGCTGCAGCCTG